GAAGGAGACAGGCTGGCAATTTTGACATGGGCTTTTACCTGATCAGGTGTAACAAACAAGACTTGAGTGCTGGTATCAACAAAGAGACAGCAGTGGAGGCTGAAGAAATGGCCTAGGAGACTGGGGGTGTGGATGCTAAAGAAATGGCTGGGCTGGGGGAGTCTCTGACACAAGACAAGAAGAGAGGGAAAGTGAAGAGAGTAGCCAGGGTTGAAGGGAAACGGGAAGAGCTGAGAGGAAAAAGAGACTTGCAAAGGTGTGGGGTGAGGGAAGTCATGATGAGTGTCAGACCCAGAGGGAAACTTGGATGCAGAAAACTGACAGACGAAGGAGAGGCTGGGATGTGGCACTGCTGTCTCCAATGCCCATCTGAGATGGTGCCTGCATCTAGCAGGGCAGCCTTCCCTCAGGGTCCATAAAGTTCACAGTCAAGGTGGGCTTCGGGTCTCCTTGCAATTCAGGGAAACCCTCAGTGCCTTGGGGCGTCCCTCCTGGGTCCTTGGTTCTCTCTTGTCTCCATTGCTCAGGTCCCTACTGGGACCCCCACTGGCTGTGCCAAGCTTCTACTAGAATTGTCAACAGGATCAACAACACCAGACCAGCCAGGCCCATGTGTAGTACTGGAGTATGGGGGCTAGAAACAGAAGCAAAAAGCAAGAGGTTCATTTACAGTAGACAAGACCCAGCCCTGCCCAGGAACTCTGAAGTAGAAGCTCCTTCTACACTTTCCTGCCCAGAACATGCACCTCCCCAAGCAATTGCTTTGGGCAATTTCCAAGCAGCTTACGTGTTATGTAATCAGCTTCTGTGGTTGTGGGGTTGACTTCACTAGAGGTTTCTGGGAGTCAGAAATAGGTGTTGAAGGGCTGAGGCAGCTTCTCCCACCCTTCCCAGGCTGACCTTGTCAACCTAAGTCCTCCATGTAACAGTTCTTTCATTGGGAACATCCCAGCCCCTGGGCTCTTTGAAGTCCACCCACAACACTCCCAGATTCCTGGGTTCACAATCCCCAGGTCCAACACACAGTCCACAGAGGGTCCAAAGTTAGGGAGGCTATAAAATCCACACCTGTCATGAATCGAACTCAGCTTTAAGGTCTTGACTCTGACATTCCCTAGGGGTAAACTGAGAGGACAGCAGGCCTTCTGCATTTATGTGGATGAAACTGGATTTCAGAGCTTGGTGCATCTCCACCCAGTTCACTGTGAGAGGTAGGACCCTTGGAACTCTCAGTGTGGTGGGATGAAGCTGGGACCCCAGGCTTGACCAATGTCCCTCATGTGCTTCCAAACAGAACTCACTGACTTGGCTCTGGGTTGAGGGGTTGGGACTTTCTTGGGGGTCAGGGCTGCCTCTGTTCTGCCCAGCTCATCCCAACCCCTGCATCTTCTGAGTCACCTTTGTGTTTCCCGTCTCTCCATACACAGCTTCAAATCAGCATTTGAGCATCTCAGGAAAACAATTTAAAATGGGATGAAGTGGGGATGACTTTTGTGTATTCATGTCTAAAATAGGAAGGATGAATTCCGTTCACCCGTTTCTTGGTTTCCCTCTTCTGTCCCAATATCCTGGGGTCTCCTGAGAACATGGGTCCTGAGCATTATGGAAGTGAACTCTGAGAGCTGATAGGACAAGGTGGGTCTGCTGCTGTGATCTGAAGCCCCAGTGGGTGCCTAGGAACTGACCTCCCATGGAGATGATGATGGTCAGAACTCTAGGATGTGTAGCCCTAAGGCCTCATGCCACAAAACCATGGATGTCACTCACTCTCCAAGGAGTTGGAGTCATGAACCTCATAGACAAAGCCACAGCAGGACCAGGGCCACCAGGTATATGGCGACAGGGAAGGGAAGGGAAGGAAGGGCCCAAAGAGGTCTCATACAGGACATTACTTCTCCTAGAAGGTTCCATTTAAATGCCTGAAACAGAAGAAAAGACTGGAGCCCAGACAACTAGACAAACTGGGGAACTGGTACTGAAGGCAGTTAACTCCATCACACTGACTGGGAGGCAGAGAGGAGGCTGAAGCTGAGGGACAGGGTGATATCTCAGTCTGGCCACTTCTTAGCCTCATCACCTCTCAGGAGCCCCTTCCTTGCACTGACGCAACATCCCCTTAAAGGGCTAGTGAAGTAAAATCTACAGCTTCGTAAAGAGGACAGGTGGCATCTGTTTTCATCATACTGGTCTGTATAGAGTTTGTCATGTTTTAAAACTATACCTACATGTGGATAGATAGATGATAGATATAGACATAGACATAGACATAGACATAGGCACAGACACACACTACTGACATAGCATATATATACATCAAGGGATACATACTAAAACTTGCATTTAGTGTCTATTTATATCATAATGACCTTTCTAGGGTTTGGCATTTTTTTTTAATTTTTAGTTTTAAAGATGTGGAAAACAATTCAGGGTTAGGTATACAAATGTTCACCAAGCAAGTAGCCTTGTTGATGAGATATGCCTCCCCTCTCCTGGCAGTTTTAAAACATACCTACATTTGTGTATGTTTGTGTGTGTATGGATATGCACAGATATAGACACACATAACTGATACAGAATAGATATATGAGTGTGATATGGTTTGACATGTATTAAAGCTTACATGAGGTATCTATTTCTATCATCATGGTCTGTATAGAGTATTTTGGCATATTTAAAAATTGTACCTACATGTGTGTATGCATGTATGTAGATATAGTTATACACAGACACACACCTCTCTGATGCAAGATATATATAAAAGTTATTATTTACTTATTGCAGTATTACTTATCATAGCAAAAACTTGGAACCAACCATGCTGCCTATCAAAAGAAGACTGAATTTTTTAAAGTGGTACATATACATGACAGAATATTATGCAGCCATAAAGAAGGACACAATCATGAATTTTGTAGCAACTTGGATGGACTTAGAGGTTATAATACGGAGTGATCTAATGCAGAAACAAAGAACTGAGTTTCACATTTTCTCACTCATAAGCAGACCTTGAACAATCATCATAATACTATAAGAAACTGGGAAACTGCCAGGAGAGGGGGACACACTTCATCAACAAGGGTACCTGCATAATGAACATTTGTATACCTAACCCTGAATTGTTTCCCACATCTTTAAAATAAAAAATATTATTTTAATAGAAGTTATGCATTAAAACTTGCATGTGGTGTCTATCATTGTGGTCTTTATAAAGTATGTCATATTTTAAAATTGTATCTGCATGGCTCTCTATATATACATGTAAATATCGACACTCCCAGACACACACCGAGAGACACACACTTTCCCTCAATATCTTCTTTCTCCTGGTCCCCCTCTCAGGGTCTCTACCCAGAAGACACCCTCCCTGAAGGGCCCACACATCCTGATTTCCAGGGCAGTCATGGTGCAGTGTGCTGCCCCAAAGACTAACATCCCTGTCTACTGGAACTCTCCCAGCAGGGGATGCCCAGGTTCTGTTCAGTGACCCCTTCCCAGGGAGTGGTGGGAATGACTAGCCAAAGGCCTGAGTCTGGAGTCTAGCTGCCTCAGGCCCTTGAGGACTTTTAAAACCATCGACCCGTGTTCTTTCCCCAAAGGCAGATAAAAAGAGTCTCTCCTTTGTGGTGTTAACAAAAAGAAATCCTGCCCCAAGGCTGGGCAGAGTCCCATACATGCTGGTATTTGTGTGTAGGTGCTGGGGCATATGGGAGCAGTGCTGAGAGAATGTGAGTCCTGGACTTCCCAAAATCCAAACCTGGCTCTAATCAGGGAAGGACTGAGAACCCCACCCCCCAAGCCCGGTCTCCAGCACAGAGTCCCCAAGTGTGGAAGTCCCAAACTGAGGCCTCTGCTCCTCACCAGCTCAGGGTCGTGGAAGCTAAAACCCCCGGGGCTCCTGTGAACAAGGAGGAGAGGGGCTGAGAGCCTGAGCTTGCCTGTCTATCCGGCCTCTGCCTGGCCCTGCCTCCCACAGCATCCTCCCATTGCCCACCTAGCCTCAATCATAGATAAGGTTCTCTACACTCCCGTGAAAGGAACTGGGACACAAGGATAACACCCTCTCTGCTCCCATTCTGCTGAGGGACAGGAAACTCTTGGAAGATGTCCCCACCTGAAACATTAGTATGAGCCAGCTGGTTTCCACACCAGGCAAGACAGGAGCCTCCTCGACTGGGCATGGAGTCAAGGGTTACTTGAGACTGAACTCACCTAGGTGACCACTGTGCCAAGCATGGGTCCCCCAGATTATAGCATCACAAGCTAAGGGTAATCTAGGTAGATACCCCTCGAGTTAGACAATGAGGGCAATTCCTAGGCACTGCACGTTTAACCCAGAGGTTGTGTGAATCACATCAGAATAAAGAGAAAAAGAGAGAAACAACACTCAGTTTTGAAGGAAAGAATTCCCCTTTCCTCCTCGCTGAGGGACGTCAGAACTTCCTCCCTGAACTCAACTCCTGGTTATCGCATAGGCTGAAAACACAAGGGCATAGATATTTCCAGCTCAGTGTTTCCCAACAGAAGCATTCAGCCCTGGTGAAGGGTCAGCCCTGGCCCCTGTGACTTGCCCAGGGGGAGGTGGACCACATCAGAGAGGGCACGTCACCTGGGACCATGGCAGGTTCTGTCTCCGGAGAAAGGAATAGGGAACAGGATCATCCTAAGTCAAGACACCCTCATTCATTGGAGGGGGTCATCACCCCACCCAATCTCTGGGAACCCACTACCCATCCAGCCCAGCAGAGCCAGTTTCATGCCCACCTGATGCTGGAGATAAATATTCAGGCCATCCGTGGTGCCCAATGGAGACAAGAACTTCAGGACCCTATGTTGGTGTGAGGGTAGAGGGATGTGTGTGCAGTGGGAGGAGAGGGTTTGGGGGTCATGGGGAAACCAAGACAGCTGCAGACAGGAGAGGCAGCTGGGACAGGGTCTAGCGTCCTGGGGACAAACTTGAGGCAGAGCTGAAACTGGGGCAGGGACCCAAGTGATGTCCTTACCTGTCACATACAACACCAGCTTCAGGTAGTCACTGGGCTCAGACCAGATACAGAACTCTGCATCCAGATAGACACAGTGATAATTCCCAGCATTATCTTCAGTTAGTGAGTCGATGGGGAATCTGGCCTCTGTTTCAGAAACGTCAAACTGAGACTGAAGTTTAGCATCTCTGAACCCATTTGTTCTACCCTCCCTCTCCAGATGGAATTTCTCAATGCTAGCTGGGCCCTGGCACACTAGGGTCACAGGCAGTAACAGTGGGATCACAGCATCTGGCTCAGTGGAGATGGAGGGTCTGGGCAGGACCCCTAGGGGGAAGCAGAGCAGGGCCTCAGGGTCCATCAGAAGAAAACGGCCTTCCCCTTCCATAAAAAGGACAGGAGGGAAATAATGCAGGGGTTGTGTAGCTTCATCCACACCTGCACCCCATCTCTTCACGTGAATCAGCAGTTTTCAACTGGGCACAGTGCACTATGGGCCAAAAAGTTATATGGGGCAACTCTAGGATTCATTCAGTGCAGCCATTCTGTGTCATAGTGTCTGTGCCAGTGAGATGAAGACTTGTTTGAGAGATTCCCATGAAGAGAGCCTAAAAGGCAGCAATTAAACCTTTTCTAAAAAAAGAAGAAAATCCTACTTTTCCTCATCTTCTGGTCTGCAAACTCATTTGATGGCTAGAGTAACAGAGCTATCTTGCATCCTGAGGTGCTAGTGACCTGTTACTAAGATTGTGAAGCAGAAAGATGAAGCTTGTAGCCCTGATGACATCCTGGAGTTGCCACATGATCTCTGGTGGAACTTCACAACGGGGAAGAGGGTGTCTACCATGAAATGTGAAAGCATTTAGGGAGTTTGAATTTGCAGGATTCTGTGGCTGATTAAATGTGAGCCAACATAAAGAAGAATCAAGGATGACTGTCTGTTTTCTGGTCCAGGGCCAATGCCAGTCAGAGGGGAAAAAATAGCAGGATGAGGAGAATCAGGTTTGAGTGGGTGAGAAACCTAAGGTCAGTTTTGGAAATGCTGAGCTTGAAAAATGAATTACTGATATCTTGCAGGTATTTGGAGCTGTCAGGAAAAGACCCACAGGGATGTTCATGGGGGGTAACTTGGAGCTGGGTTCCTCCCAGAGTCACATGACTCCCACCTACAGAGGCCCTTGGGTGGTAAGAGTTAGGAATCTCACAGATGTGACTCACCCTTCTGTGTGTTGCTCATCTGGCCCAGGCAGAGCACTGGAAGAGAAGCCCCCATAAGACAACGTCCACCACCAGGTGTCCTTAGACAGGAGTTAAGGATGTTTGGAACAGGGGGAGGTTTGGTTTCTTGGAATCCCCAAACCACCCCCAATGACCCTCACTCTCAGCATGGCGGTCTCCTTCTTCCACAGCAGGTTCCAGAGTGGGCCTCAGGGCACCCTTTCAACAGACACCCCCTCAGCTTCTCCTATATGGGGCCTATCCCCATCCCAAAATTTTATGATATACAAAAGACCTCAGGTTCCTCCACGGTCAGCTCAGATCAGGTGACACCAAGCGGGCAGGCATCTGCAGGAGTGACTGTCTTCCCCTAGGAACTCAGCACGTTCTCAGCCAGAAATAGGATCTGGATCCCCAATTTGTTCAATCCCTTTGTCTTTAAAACCCCTCTTTTTTTCCTGGACTCACCAAAGCCCAGTGGAGTGTTGGGATGGTGGAACATGACCATGCCCCTCCAGTCTCCTCTCACCCTGTGCTGTGGTGTGACAAGTGTACAGGGTGTGCTCACAAGGCCTGGCTGCAAGGCTCAGTGTCCAGTCCCACAGGAAGGGCAGTGGTCAGCTCTCAGACCCAAAATGAACTTCCCTTCAGGGAACGAGAGGCAGGCTTCCATTTCCAGAAGTGATTTCGAGTTAGAAATTTCATAATCAGGCTGAAACTATGTCCACATTAAATCCCATATTATTTACTTGATAGACAGATAGATATAGATTTTAGATGATAGATGAGAGATAGATAGATAGATAGATAGATAGATAGATAGATAGATAGATAGATAGATGCAAGACAAAATAAGAGATACCAGGTATGAATGGGTGTATAATAGACACACCGGATAAAGGCGAGGCTGGGAAACTCATTGGCTTATGTTCACAACAGACTGATGGATCTCAGGAAACACATTCTCATACAAGTCCTTAGACTCCCCACATAAAATCCTCCTGACATCTTTTTATGAGGGAAGTATAAAAAAAGCAGGAATTATTTTTGGAGGACAAGCCCCTTGTAGCAAAGGCTTGCCCACTAGGTAAGTGTTACAGGAACCCGTGGGCATTAGTGTACTTCCTAGCATTGTTGTGAAAGGCTACATTTGGTTTCAGTGATTTTTTTTAGATTCTTTCAATGCATTTGTGTATTTATGATGGGTGATTTACAAGGGCACCTGCTCACACTGCGCTAGGTACTCAGCAGTTTGGGGCCAAAAACAGCATGATCCCTGTGCCCCACCCTCCTATTCACCTGATCTCTCCTTTGAGACTTTTTCCTTGTTTTCCCATATTAAAAGAAAAAAAATCCTCAAAGAAAATGTTTAACTAGGATTCTTCCACAAGATGGCGATGGCATAGGTGGATTTGCGAGACTCTCCGAACGTGAGTTCCCAAAAAGACTTACTTTTCTTCCCGCAGCCTCCTGCCCACCACCAGCCACATTGGTACAATGCCTGGGGACCTTCAGTCCCATGCAGGGCCAGATATTATGGCCACCGGCAGTGGCTGCTCCACTATATGTGACTCCCACCTGCTCAGGAGTCCCGGGTCCCAGCTCCCTCTCTGGCTACATTGTCTTGCCCAGCACCCAGCACCAAACTGCCAGTCACCCAGGGAGTCTCTGGGTGCCCGCCCCTCAGAGATACTGGTCCCATTCTGGCTGAAGTGCCCTGTGAGAGACCCAGGGCCATTGCCTGCCCTTTGGAGCTTTGGAGCTCTGAAGCCCCGGGCCCACCCTGGCTGAGGCACTCAGCGCACGACCTCAAACTTGTGTAAGGGAGCAGAACCCCAAGTTTGTGTAAGGTGCTGATCAGAGGCTTCCAGCTCCAGAAGAGGGAATGCCTGATCCTCTCCTCCACCCCAGCCTGTTGGTGAGACCCCAGATCCAGAGCCCAGCTCTGCAGCTGATCCCACCCAGAGACCCAGATGAGCATCCCTAAAAGTGAAACTTAAAAAGCCTCCACCTCGGTTCCCATGGTGATGTCGTTAAACAGGAGACAAAGCCCCTCCCCTATGCTGAACAGACTGAGACAACTAAGAGTCACAGACCTCCCAGGCAACAGGCTAGCTGCCTGCAACAAAAAAAGGGGAGAAACTGGAGATCAGAGCTCAAGTGACCTTAGCCACTAAGGAAAGATTACAGAACTAGTCTGATCTCTTATTTTGACATTTGGTTTTATCATTCTGACTGTATATTTTGCTCACTATTGTTTGCTTTCGAACTTACACTATCTGTTTCATGATCTTACTGGTCTGTCTCAGTGTAGCTACTAGTATTCTTTAGGGAATTTTCCTTCTGTGTTTTTCTTTCACTTCTCTCCAGCCTTGTGTCTCTTTTTCACCTATTAGTTGGTATGTATGTCTGTTCTCCCTCTCACTCTTCTCTCTTTCTAACTTCCTATAGACCCCCCCTTTCCTCCATTAGTTTCCTCTTTTATACCTCATTTTGCTCCAGGGATGAGAGAAAAATCTACACAAATGAAGAAAAACGAAAAGAAGAGTATGGGTCTCTCCCAGAATGCTGGGAGGTCAGACACTGAGAAAACTGACTTCGGAATGCAAACAATGAAGAGCCCCCAGAATGACACTGGTCTCAAACTACAAACCAAGACATTAATGGAGAGATTAAAAAGAATTGAAGAGACTCAAGAATAAACTAGAAAGGAGCTGATATCTGAGATAACTGTAATAAAGAATACTGTGAATGAAATAAATAACAAACTGATAGGCATGGAAAGCAGAATTACCAAAGCAGAAGAAAGAATCTCAGAGCTCGAGGACCAAAATATAGAACTAATGCAAACTCTCAAAAACACAGAAAACAAGCTCAAAAAGACGGGAAAAATCCTTCAAGAGATGAGCGATTACTTCAAGAGACCGAATCTAAGAGTAATTGGCCTTCCTGAGGTAGAAAGAGAGACAAAGACCATATTGGAACAAACCTTCCATGAGATCATTAAAGAAAACTTCCCTTATCTAATCAATGATGCAAAAATTCAAACACAAGAGATTCAGAGAACCCCTGCAAGACAACAAATGAGAAGACCAACTCCTAGACACATAATGATTCTCCTAAACAAAGAAGGCTTAAAAGAAAAAATTCTAAAGGCAGCAAGAGAAAAAGGCCAGATCACCTACCATGGAAAATCAATTAGAATACCAGCAGATTTATCTACAGAAACTCTGCAGGCTAGGAGAGCTTGGAGACCTATTTTCAAAGTCTCAAAAGATAAACAATTCCAACCAAGAATAACTTACCTGGCCAATCTAAGCTTCATCAGTGAAGGAGAATTAAAATCTTTCCCAGATATCCAATCCCTAAAAACTTACACAACCACCAAACCACTTCTACAGGAACACTTAAGAAAGCACTAAATACAGAAGAAAAGAGGAAAAAAAGAATAACGTTATTAACAAGAGTACAGGAAAAACAATAAAATACACATGAACCAACCCCAAAACCAAAAGAAATACAATAAATCAAGTGGAAGAACAACTCTATAAGAACTCTATGATACGGACAAACTCTCACATTTCAATAATTAGCCTGAACATGAATGGACTAAATGCACCACTGAAAAGATATAGAATGGCAAAATGGATAAAAATATCACCAGGCAACAATATACTGCCTTCAAGAGACCCATCTCACTAGAAAGGACATACACAGACTCAAAGTAAGAGGATGGAAAACAAATATTCAGGAGAATGGAACACAAAAGAAGGAGGAGTCGAAATCCTAATTTCAGACAAAATACCATTTAAGCTATCAAAAATTTAAAAAGATACAGAAGACCACTACATAATGACAAAAGGTTCACTTCATCAACAAGAAATATCTATCGCAAACATATGTGCACCTGACATAGGTGCACCAACTTTTATAAAGCAACTCCTAGGAAAACTAAAGAAAGATATTGACTCTAACACCATCATACCTAGGGACTTTAATACCCCACTCACAACCCTAGACAAATCATCAGGACAAAAAACCAGCAATGAGATCTGGAACCTCAATGTGACACTTGACCAAATGAACTTAATTGATACCTACAGAACACTCCATCCAAAGACCACAAAATACACATTCTACTCA